AGAGTGGTGCGGCCAGGCCCTATGCCTGACCCCAACAACTGCTCTATTTCCTGGGAGTATGGGCCTCGCCAGGCCGCTCCCAAGTTGTAGAAAAAGTTCGGGAGTGCTCCGAACATGAAATCCCGTTCGAGAGTGCCTTTCGCCTCCCGAACGTGAAACCCCGTTCGAGAGTGCCTTTCCCCACACTGCGCTCTCCAACGGGCCACTCTCCAGGACTGAAAATGACAATTGCCACATACGGACACGGCCCATGGTAAAAAATGAGAGTTGCCACATATGGACACGGCGGGAAGCAGTCTGACCGAAGTATGTTTGTCACATTGAGCTCCACAGGGGAAGCTGGGATGAAACTCGGAGGTCCCAAAGAGCTCTCTCGAAAATGCAGCTTTGCAGGCTGTGGTTCAGGAGTGCTCTGGGGAGTGAAATTCTGACAGCTCCCGAATTTGATTTGACAGATAAAATTCGGGAGCTGGTGTGGCCTGCTGCACTCCCGAAAACAACCACTTTCGGGAGTAGTGTGGCGAGGCCCTATGCCTGATCGTAGCCAGGATATTGGGCCTCGCCACATCTATCCCGAAAACACAGATTTGGAGTGGAAAAGCATCGCCATACCAACTCTCGAAAATCGCTGTCAGAAAAAAATTAGAGAGCTGTCAGAAAGCGGGTTTCAGGAGTGCTCGCAAACTGTGGTCCTTGGCCGGCCTGCAAAGTGGCCAATTTCGAGAGTGGTCAAAGGGCCTCGCCACACCTATCCCGAAAACAGGAAAATGTTCGAACGGTTGGAGAGGCCTCATCGCCGCACTGCGCTCTCGAAGGGGGTGCTCTCCACTGGGTCGGAAAAGAACTGCGTTTTTCGAGAGTGCAGTGTGGGGGTGCAAGGGCCTTGCTCCACTACTCACCAAATGTGCAAAATGAGAATGAATCTTCTGCTAGACCATGGAAAGATACACCGCCAGATTTTTTGTCTGTTGTGCATGTGATGAGTAGTGGACCGAGGCCTTGGTTCGAGAGTCTCTCGAACCAAACACGATAAAACGCTGGCCGCAGACGGTTGTCCGTCGTGGCACACTCTCGAAATTTGGGCCAAAATCGGAGGTGCCTTCGACCACTCTCGAAAGTGGCAACTTTGCAGGCGGGGCAACGACCACAGTTCGCGAGCACTCCTGAAACCCGCGTTCTGGCCACTCTCGAAAAATTTTCTGACACCGATTTTCGAGAGTGGGTATGGCGATGCGTTTCCTCTCCAAATCGGTGTTTTCGGGATAGGTGTGGCGAGGCCTGAAGACACCTCCGATTTTGGCCCCAATTTCGAGAGTGTGCCGCGACGGACAACCATCTGCGGCCACCGTTTTGCCGCGTGTGGTTCGATAGAACTCTCGGACCCTGGGTTTCGAGAGAACTCTCAGACCCTGGGTGGGCCTAAGCATCGTGCCCCCTGCCTGTGCCGGTTTCCGCCCCGGGTTAACCGCGCTCTTCTGCTGATGTAGCCGTTTGTCTGCACCGGTTCGTGCGTGTGGGGTGCGTATGCATTAGCGTAGTGCAACCTTCAGCGCCGAAGTCCACGCAGATGGCACTGGACTTCGGCAGATGGAGCTGGACGATGATTGTCGCAGCAATCGTTGTCTTCCTCGCTCCGCAATCGCTCAGCTGTGCATGTGGGGTGCGTATGCGTTAGCGTAGTGCAACCTTCAGCGCCAAAGTCCACGCAGATGGCGCTGGACTTCGGCAGATGGCGGTGGACGATGATTGTCGCAGCAATCGTTGTCTTCCTCGCTGTGCAATCGCTCAGCTGTGCATGTGGGGTGCGTATGCGTTAGCGTAGTGCAACCTTCAGCGCCAAAGTCCACGCAGATGGCGCTGGACTTCGGCAGATG